CCAGCTCCCCGCCCAGGACCCGGATGTGGCCGAGGACCAGGACGTGGCCGTCTCCTTTGATGGGGATGGGGCCTTTGCTCGTGCAGCTGCAGGTGGGACCGGGTTGGGGTGTCACTTCCCATCGGGTGTCAGCAGGGAGCTGGGGCTCACAGCAGAGGGGGTGGGTGAGCTTGGGGAGTTGCTGGGACTGGACGGACGGGGCCTTGGGCACAGGGAGAAGCAGAAGCCAGCGGGCACGAGGAAGTCAGAATCAGAGACAGGATCCCCCTTCGTGACCATCACAGTGGGAGTCTTCGACATCCAGGGTGCCACGCGGGGTGCCTGCACCCTAACTCAACTGCAGTGTCTGCGCTGGAGGGTCCTGGCCTCAGGGAGGTCAACCCCATCCCCCGGCCCTACCCAGCGCGTGACTCTCCCTCCCTCCACAGGTCCCAGGGCGAGATCCGCCTGCTACTGCAGACCCTCCAGATGTAAGCCCTGGGAGCGCCGCTCCGGGACCTGCCCCCTCACTCACGGCAAGTACATATTTTGCTGCCGCTGAGCTGTTTGGACGGAGCCATAGCCCTGTGTCCCCGCGGACAGCGGCAGGGGGTTCCCTTTATAACTTGTCTCCTTCCTCTCACCACAATAAACGTCAAGCTTTACTGTCAAGGTGTTTTGCCTTTTTCACCTCTGTGTCTTTCTCTTCTTCCCACGTGGCCTCTCGCCGCTTCATCCCCAGGGCGGTGTGTGCAGCAGCCCTGCCCAGTGTCCGGGATGGAAAAGGGGGGGCTCGAATATTGTGAGGAGGTGGAGGGAGAGACATCCCCGCACACACGTGGTGGGGTGCGGGCGGGGCCAGACCCTGTGAAATATGTGTGAGGTTTCTCAAAACAGTAGCAGCCCAGCCCTCCCCGCGGGCGGCCCCGGCCTGTGTGAGCCTCCACGCTCTCGGGCCTGCGCCGGGCCCCGGCCGAGCTTCGGGACAAGCAGGGAACAGAGACAGATTACGGGGAGCGCCATGAGCCCCCTGGGACCACTCAGCTCCCACAGAGGCCATTGCCGTCGGCACAACGTGGATGGCGCTGGAGGGGCAGGTGCCACGTGGAAGCCTCTGAAGAGAAAGACCAATAGCGGATGCTGGACGCCAAGAAGGAAAGAACCTCCTGAGAACAGAACCAGCCTCCCGGGTAACAGACCCTAGAGGTGACTGCGGAGGTGAGGCCAGCAGCGGGGAGGGAAGCGAGAAAGCAAAGTGGGGGCCATGGTCCGTGCTGAGGACTGGGGGTGCCTGGGGTTGGCTGCCCGGGAGCCCCAGAGCTGGTGCCCTGAGGCTACACCGCAAACAAGCCGCCGTGTTGTAGGGCAAAGTCGCGTCTATAGAACAAACGAACAGCAGAGGCCAGCGTGGCCTGAGCAGCCCCCGGGAAGCTCGCGGGCTGTGCCTTCAGCACGTTGGCCACACCCGGAAAAGCTCACGGCTAGAAAGGAGCGATGGGCTTGGAATCTGGGAACGCTGAGCCATCCCGGTGACGGTCAGGAGGGTCTCGGTGAGGTGGGCCAGGAGGGGGCTGCAAGGTCAGGGCTGGGTGCCGCTCCTGCACTTCAGGGCGGGGAGGGGACCCCACTCCTGCTATTTTCCGGCGCTGCCCCTGTGCTGGGCAGACGCGTGCGCAGTGACGGCAGAACAGCCTGGGCAGAACGGCAGCCTCTGGGAGCCACAGACAACAGAGGAATTTGCCAGAACTCTCCGAGGACCCAGGGGCTGGCCCCAACCAGAGAGCAGGGAGCAGCGGTGGGGAGCGAGGCGCCCCAGTGAGCAGAGGGGACAGTCCCATTGCACCCCAAAGGTCAATTTGCCCAGTGTCCCTGAGAGTGGGTAGACCACCACTTACTCAAAATTAAATCCACTCATATCTAAACCAGTCAATAAAACCAGGTGAGTAAAACTCCAGTATAAATCAATGTGTGTGATGCCAATGGCTAAGAGGAGACCTTAGGGGGACACAGACCGTACTCCTGCCCTGCTGCCAATTATTAAAGAGAACTTTTAAGTGAGAACTTCAAGTCTGTAAGAGCCAACCCTATACTAGATTCTCGCCTTCATTGATACCGATACATGATCAAAGGAACCAGGTATCAGAGGCAAAAATTTCAGCCTGAAAATTACCATCATGAGTCAACCATCCTGAGACGCAGCGGCCTTCCCTGCCCCCTGTCACTCCCCTGGCCCTGGCCCACCCTGGGGGACAGTCCACCATCCTCACAGCCCCTCAGAATCCCCTTCTCTGCCCACCCCGTCCTCACAGGGGCGCACTGACGGGGTCCCCAGAGCAGGCCCTACAGTAGGCACTTGGGGGTGGTGGGAACAGGGCATGGGCTGGTGAGGCCCACACCTGCCCTGGCGTGAGGCTAGAGACCAGGTCAAGGTGAGGCCCGCAGCTGGCTGGTCCCTCCGTGCCCGGGAGGCGGGCTCCTCTGCTCAGCCCATCACCTGATGGCGCCAGGCCCACCCGCAGCCTGGAGGGAAACTTTACTCTTGGCCGCTGAGCAGATGCCACCCTCGTGCGGGCTGTACCCCAGGGCACAGCATGACCAGCCCAGCCCAGCCCAGAGACCAGCTCACTGGACCCTCGTTTCCCGGGGAACTTCTAGGAGTCCTGGCCAGACTTGGCCGCAGTCTCCATGGCCAAAGGGTCACCTGCTCCCCACGGTCGCCCTTCACGGTGCCCTCGCGGTGTCTGACACCAGCAGACTCCTCTATGCAGGGGTCTGTGCCCTGGGGCTGCTGAATTCCCTGTGTGAGTCTCTGTCCTGGGAGCTCAGGCCCCTCAGGTTCAGGAGTCTGGACACTGGGCCCAGCCCAGAAGGCTCCCCAGAGTCAGGAGGCGCCCACCCCAGCCCAGCGAGGTGCAGAGACCACATCTGGGCTGGTGGGTGGAGGGGGCGCTGGGGCCTGTCCCTTCCCTGGTCTGTAGCCCCAAATGGCCTGGTCTCATGTATGGAGCCCCCTGCTCTGTGCCGGCTCCCCACAGAGAGACCTGGGGCTACATTCAGAGGACCTGGCCCTACAACAGGAGCTGCCTCTCCAGAGGAGAAGAAACCCTCAGGTCCGGCCCTCAGGGGACAGCTGTGAGCACCTGAGTGAGAATCAGCCCCAGACTCTGTTCTCCTCCAGGGGCGCAGTCTCCACCTCCCCCAGGTGCTCCTACCCCAGGGCCTCACTTTCCTCATTCATGGAGGAGGCTGGGGGCCTGCGTGGTCCTGGCGGGTCTCCACATCTCCTGATGCTTGGAGACGCCCCAAGGCCCGAGCTCCTGGAAAATGTGGGGACGGCCTGACCAGCCAGAGCTGGGGAGGAGCAGGCTGAGGCCCCGGGGTCCCCGGGCCAGGTGAGCCTCCACGTCCACACGTGGTGTGATTCGGAGACAGGGAGGCAGAGCAGAGCGGACGGTGCAGGGGTGTTGGGGAGCAGTTATGTGGGGAGCCCAAGTGGTCAGGGCTGCCCTCAGGTGTCCTGTCCTCCTGCAGAGGAGGAAGCACGGAGCAGGGCAGCCGGGAGGACACAGCAGCCATCCCTGCCCAGCTGGCTGGGGGCCTGTGCTAGGAACACGTCTCGTTTCTCAGAACTCTGCTTGCCAGACTCTCTGGCTCAGCGGCTGGCACCCCGAGTGTTTAGCGGCTCAGAGCTATCTAGGGCAGAAAGGGGGAGGGCCCCCCTGGAGATTTCCCCTTGGTGGGGAGCAGCTGGGCTGGTAGCGCATCCGTGAGCGCCGCGCACCACCTGCTCTCACTCTGGGGTCCACGCGGGCGCTGCCTTTTACCTGGAACTTAAAAAGCAGAAACCAACCCATTGGGGCAATTCAGTCGTGATGGAGAAACACGACTGGGGAGTGAAGGCTGCCAGAGGGACGGACCGGGCAGGGCTCGGTTTCAGCTCCCATCCTGCCATGGTCGGGGCGGGACTCGGGACTGCAGGTGGGGGGCGCGGAGACGTACACCCAAGAGGGGTGTCTCCTCGAAACAATGGATAAACCCCTAAAAAGTACCCTAAATGAGTTATGGTAAGACTTAGGTGGTGACGTGGAGAGAGCAGGAGGCCACGGAGCTTTCCGTAAGGACGCGTTTCCTGTTCAGGCGCCGAGAGGCCGGGAAGCTGCCCTAAGGGGACGCGGCGGCGATTTCCCAGAAGGGCTGGCCCGGGCCGGCGGGGACAATGGTTCTCGTTCATCGCGCGCCAAGCTCTGCCTGTGACTCCGGCTGCTTGAACTGAACATCTTACACCCAAATAATCCCACACCCCAGGGTGCTGCTGTGTCAGGATGGCCTGTGGCCTCAGGCGCCAGACTCAAGCTTTCAGCTTCAAGCTGGGGATTTCTAGAAGGAGCACTGGGATGTGATGTTGGCGATTTCCTAAAGGAGGACGCGGTCTATGTCCACCTGCGTCATGTGCTGGGATTAGAATTACTCCTGAATTCCTTGGTCCCGCTCTGTTCCTCTGTCTGCGGCGCTTCACCCTGGCCCTGACTCTCTCCCCGGACGGGTCGTCACCTGCCCCTCGCCCAGAACCTCAGAGCCTCCTCCTGGGGAGACGCCCCTGCACCTGCCGGGTCAAACCCACGGGGTCCAGGAGGGCCCTGGCCGCACCCCAGAGCGTCGGGCCATCTGCAGGGAGAAAGGCACTTGGCCCTGAGCGGACACAGGAAGCCTGTTCTCGCCTCTTTCATCGCTCACAGGTAAACATCCCAGCAGATGGCAGGCGGGGTATGGACCAGGGTCCTTGTACCATGTCCACCTGAAAGCAGCAGGGACCGAAACCGGGGCTCACGCATGATGGAAGTTGCTGGTACAGAGAAGAATCAGAAAATTTGGGATATAAGATGGCCACAGCCCCTCAGGGCAGGGACAGCCCCTCCCCTTTGAGCTGGGTGAGAGGCTCCTCCCTCCAGGCCATAAATGCCCTGACCTGCCCTCCCCACACCAGCGCCTGCTCCCGTCGCCCGACCTCCTGGACACTCAGCATGAGGACCCTCACCCTGCTGGCCAGCCTGCTCCTCCTGGCCCTCCATGGCAAGGCTGGGTCCCTGGGGGACACAGCTGACCCAGTGATGGCGCCCAAGGACCAGCTCCCCACCCAGGCCCAGGCTGGAGCCAAGGACCAGGACGTGGCCATCTCCTTTGAAAGGCCCTTTGCTCCAGCAGCTGCAGGTGGGACTGGGTTGGGGTGTCACTTCCCATCGGGTGTCAGCAGGGAGCTGGGGCTCACAGCAGAGGGGGTGGATGAGCTGGCGGAGTCGCTGGGACGGAGAGGCACGGGGCCTTGGGCACAAGGAGAAGCAGAAAGCAGGGGGCACAAGGGAGGTCAGGATCACAGACATGATCCCCCTTCCTGACCATCACAGTGGGAGTCCTCGAGATCCAGGGTGCCACGCGGGGCGCCTGCACCCACACACGACTGTGGTGTGTGCTCTGGGGGACCTGGTCTCAGAGACCTCAGGGAGGCCGACACCTTGTCCCCAACTCCTGACACTCTGTCCCTCCCTCACAGGCCCTGGCCAGAGAGTCACCTGCTACTGCAGGTCCCTTTTGTGCTACAGTTGGGAGACGGTCTCGGGGACCTGCACCCTCAGTGGCTACAGTTACGTACTTTGCTGCAGCTGAGCTCTTGCGTTGAGGCCCGAGGCCCGGGTCCCGCTGAGGGAAGGAAGATGGACTCAGTTACAGCTTATGACTTCATTTCCTCACCAAAATAAAATTAGGCATTAAAATCAGTGTATTTGGTGCTTTTCATGTTGGGTCTTCCCCCCCTTTTTGGTTCCCATATGTGCTGTCTCAGGACATGGTCAAGTCTGTCCAAAATCACCTCCGGAGGGCCCCGGGGAGCCCCGGGCTCTGTGTCCAGGATGGGGAGCCTCAGGCCACAGGAAGTACAGACACTGAGAAAATAATCCTAAATGGGGATGAATCCAATCTGAGAACTGGTCCATTTTCAGAGACACGCGGTGGCAAAGAGTCTCTAGAAGTAGACCAGCCGGGGGGGGGGGGGCACTCCAAGAACAGGTGCTGGTGTGATACTGGGTCCTCCTGTTCAGGGCTCCGGAGGGGCCCCTCAACTACTATTTCTCTCATGGACGGCAACGTGCTGTATGAACGCACACATTGGACTTCTCTGCTGGCTCCAGGGGTCAAGCACAGCACTGTGAAGCAATCCACAGCCGCGGCAGCACAAGTTCGATCCCCAGTCGGCCAGGGAGCCACCCACAGGGCACAGCAGACCTCTCCTGTCTCCCCGCTGCTCCCTTCAGCAGTGTGTATTTCAATCAATCGGCCTGTTCTGCTCCCCACTCTGTCTCTGGTGAATCTTCTCACCCCCTCTCACCTCTGGTCTGCACCCCAGTTCCTGTATGCATAAACAAACAAACAAACAAGCAAATAAAAAAATAAGCCAATGCACATATTAACTGAGATCAGCAAGGCAAGCGCTAAGTCCAGGGACCACAGAAAACAGAAGAACTTGCCAGAAAGCACCGAGGGCTCCCAGATTCACTTGTGACCCCAGAGTGGGGGACCGGAAGCTGGAGAGTGAGGTGCTCCCCCCAGTCACTGGGGAACAGTATCATTTGCACCCCAAATGTCAGCTCATTCAACATCTGTGAAGGACTTGGTGGATTCTGCCTCCTCAAATATTGAATCCACTCATGCAAACAGTCTCCACCGTGTCATAACGCCATGAACAGTACGACGTGTCTGGTGACAGCTATAAGGCCGCGTTCTGGGGAGACGTTACTACCGCTCTTACTGTCAAGAGAGCAGAGAGACCTTCTACAGGAGATACCAAAGCTCTGAAATCAATCTTTGTGCAAAATGCAAAATGAACAGCACTGTGACGTGATCAGAGAAATCTATTTTATCTCAAATACGTGTATCCTGGAAATCACCAGACACATACCAATAACCCTCATGTCCACCAGCTCTTATCTGGCCACAGGGTCACCTGCTCCCCACGCTCGCCCTCCATGGCGCCCTCGTGGTGTGTGACACGAGCAGACTCCTGTGTGCAGCGAGTCTGTGCCCTGGGGCTGCTGGATTCCCTGTGTGAGTCTCTGTCCTGGGAGCTCAGGCCCCTCAGGCTCAGGAATCTGGGGTCTGGACCCAGCTCGAGGGCTCCCCAGAGTCAGGCGGTGCCCACCCCAGCCCAGCGAGGTGCAGAGTCCACATCCGGGCGGGCGGGTGGAGGGGGCGCTGGGGCCTGCCCCTTCCCTGTCTGCTGCCCCGAAGGGCCTGGTCTGGTGTCTGGAGCCCCTGCTCCGAGCCGGCTCCCCGCAGAGAGACCTGGGGCTGCAGCCAGAGGCCCTGAGCAGCCAAGAGAACATGATTGTCCTGCCCTGGCCGGGAGCCCTGGAGGATGAGACACGGCGTGGCCCTCAGAGCGTGGAGTCCCCCGTGCAGAGCCGAGCCTGAGGCAGGAGGCGTCTGTGCGAGAGTAAAGGCAACATCTGGAATGGGGGGCAGCGGGTGTGTGGTTATTACTTGGGGACAAGCACAGAGGTCAGGGCTTCAAGTGCAGCCCCAGGCTCTGTCCTCCCGGCAGAGAAGGGCAGGTGGGCAGTTGGGGGCGGGACACAGGCCGCCTGGCTCACTGCTGGCCGGGCCCTGCCTCGGAGCATGCGTGCTTTCCCGGGAATCTCTCAGCGCTGGGAGGTAAATATCCAGCTGTGCGGAACCAGGAACTCTACCGAGCCCGGTCACCTTGCACTGGACGGGAGTGGGACTCAAGGGGAAGGACTCACACTTGACGGGGGATGCGGGCAGCTGGGACACCCAAGAGGGGGTGGGCACTCGGGACCCTCACCCATCACCCCTCCCGGCCGGGAGCCCCTCCCCTCTGAGCTGGGTGAGAGGCTCCTCCCTCCAGGCCATAAATGCCCGGTCCTGCCCTCCCGCACCAGCGCCTGCTCCCGTCTCCCGACCTCCCGGACACTCAGCATGAGACCCTCGCCCTGCTGGCCGCCCTGCTCCTCCTGGCCCTCCGTGGCCAGGCCGGGCCTCTGGGGGACACAGCCCACCCAGTGATGGAGCCCGAGGCCCAGCTCCCTACCCAGGCCCAGGCCGGGGAAGGACCAGGACGTGGCCATCACTTTGCTGACAGCTTCACTCTAGGAGCTGCAGGTGGAACCAGCAGGAGCCTGGGGTCACCTGTCTCCTCAGGCTGATTGTGCATGGAGGTGGGAGGGGCTCACGATTGGATAATTGCACCAGCTGGGGTGCAGAATAGGTGACCCTGAAGATCCCTGCCTCTGGAGGAAGGATCAGAGAGAGCATGCCCATGAGCTCCCACAGTTGCTAAGCATCTGGGATTAGGGTGAGGCCCGGCTCATCGGCACCCTCTGGGGACTAGTATGTCTACTCTGGGGAGACTCGGGCTCCTGCAGGCCTCGAGGTGGCTGACAGCTGCACCTTGCTTCCGCCCCTGAGTCTGATTCTCATCTTCCTCCCCCAGACTTCAACTCCTCCCTCTCCTGCTTCTGCAGGCTGGGTGGGTGCCAGTGCTGAGAGCGCCCCCACGGCTCCTGTGCCTGCTGCAGCCAGTACACCCTCTGCTGCTCCTTGGGCTGTGGGTTCTGCCGAGGCTGCAGCGGGCATGCTCTTCCAGCGCAGACCCTTCCTCCCCACCCCAATAAACTTGTAGCTTTGAGGACAGTGTACTTGGCTGCACTTTTTCCCTCTCTCCTTTGTGTTTTTGCTTGATCTGTGGATGTGAGCTGGGTCCTGACCTGGGGTTTCGACCCTGAAGGGTCCATGGGAGCCCCCCGTCCCACAGCGGGATGGGCCCTCGGGCGCTAGTGACACCAGACACTGGGGCAACGAAGCGGTGACGGGAGGCCTTGTCTGTAGAGCTGAGCCACCCAGGATGCTCGGGGAGGGCGTCCAGGACGAGGACCCACAGGAGGGGCTCCAAGATCAGCTCTGGGGTGCTGCTCTTGTTCCCCCCATCAGGCAGGGGACCCAGCTGCTCTTTCTCTCATACTGAGCAGCTTTGTGGGAATACGTGTATAGCAGACACCGATTCAACAGCAGGAGGACAACCAAGCTCAGGGAACCCCAGACCATGGAACTCACCAGCAAACACTGAGGGCTGAGGGGCTCCCTTGTGCCACAGAGCAGGGAGCCCAGGATCTGGGGAGCAGGCTGCTCACCCCCCACTGAGCACAGAGGACAGTCCCATCTGCACCCCAGATATACATGCACCCAGAATCATGATATGTTGGTGGGCTCTCCATTTCCAGAAATTAAGTCCACTCGTGTAAGAACGACACAATGCCACTGTCACCGGGAAGGCGGCGAGCGTTTAATGATGTAAAAAAGGAGGCAAATATCCCAATGAGGAGGCATTAATATACTCACTGTCCTGCAAATATTACAGACAACACTTTGCGAGCACTTCAAGTGTCTGAAGTCAGTCTCCGTACTCAACGCAGACATGAACACACAGCGTGTGATCACAGAATCCAATTTTATTGCAAAATACATTATCCTGAGCGTGACAGGCACGTATGAACCATCCTGGAGTCTCAAGAGCCTTGCCCCGACCCGGAGTCACTCCCCTGGCCCCTGCCTTGGGAACAGCCCACCTTCAACCTTGTCCTCATGGGGGCCACTGCAGGGCTCCCTAGAACAGGCCCCCAAAGGCACTCAGACAGGGAGAGGCTGGGAGCAGGGCACCAGATGGCGAGGCCCACACCTGCCATGGCTTTGAGGCTGGGGACCGGGTCAAGGTGAGGCCTGCTGCTGGTTGGTCACTCCCTGCCTGGGAGGCGAGCTCCTCTGCTCAGCCCTTCACCTGGTGAGACCAGGCCCACCCACAGGGAAATTTACTCCAAGTCCACCAAGCACACACCACACTCCAGGGGGCCTTCCCCGGGGCACAGCAGCATCAGCCATGTGGGCCTGAGCTCGCCAACACCACCCCAGTGACCGGCTACTCGGACCCTTGTTCCCAGGAACCTTCTAGGAGTCCTGCCCAGATGCGCCCCCAGACTTCACGAACACAGGGTGACCTGCTCCCCATGCTCTCCCTCCACGGCGCCCTTATTGTGTCTGACATGAGCAGACTCCTCTGTGCAGCAAGTCTGTGCCCTGGGGCTGCTGGATTCTCCTCACAGAGAGACCTGGGGCAACAGCCAGAGGACCTGGCCCTACAACAGGAGCTGCCTCTCCAGAGGAGAAGAAACCCTCAGGTCCGGCCCTCAGGGGACAGCTGTGAGCACCTGAGTGAGAATCAGCCCCAGACTCTGTTCTCCTCCAGGGGCGCAGTCTCCACCTCCCCCAGGTGCTCCTACCCCAGGGCCTCACTTTCCTCATTCATGGAGGAGGCTGGGGGCCTGCGTGGTCCTGGCGGGTCTCCACATCTCCTGATGCTTGGAGACGCCCCAAGGCCCGAGCTCCTGGAAAATGTGGGGACGGCCTGACCAGTCAGAGCTGGGAGGCTCAGGCTGAGGCCCCGGGGTCCCCGGGCCAGGTGAGCCTCCACGTCCACACGTGGTGTGATTCGGAGACAGGGAGGCAGAGCAGAGCGGACGGTGCAGGGGTGTTGGGGAGCAGTTATGTGGGGAGCCCAAGTGGTCAGGGCTGCCCTCAGGTGTCCTGTCCTCCTGCAGAGG